CATCTCTTTTAGTACTCTGTCAAAACTATGTGATCTTATAAAACTCCTTGTATGTTCTTCTATTTCTATTAAAACCAGCTCTTGTCATTAGGTAGAACCTAACTCCCAAATCCTAGTCATGGTGGATGGCCACCCCGGTTTTCCACGCCGGCTAACTAGGTTGGTATACTATCCTTCTCTCCAATTGGTGGTTGGATTAGTGGATCCCCCCACTTAAGAATCTTGTTGTCGTTCGGTTCTCCAATCTTAGCTATTACTTCTAAATTTAGCCTTTCTGTAGCACTGTCAAAAGTATCACTACCTCCTTACTCGGGTCTTCCCAAACGGGTTTCAATTATCCTAGTTTCTTGACATTTCTGTGCCGAAGCTTCCATAACGAAATAGTACAACCAAGATTACAGATTGTAGATCCAACCAATCGATGGATAATTGTTACCTAATACAGATTTTATTTTTCGAAAAACGTCATCCATGGGATTCGAACTCTAGACCTGCTACTTGGTGGGGTGATAACTAGACCACTTCACTAAGCCGCCACACCCTTTATCTCAATAATATATAGCCAATCACACTCCTAGAGATATTTAAAAAGTACATAACCAAAATTCTAACTAAGTGAATCTCTAAAATTATGGAAGAGAAATATATTTTAAAAGGTCCGAATTTTGCAGGGCTACCAGATTACTCAACAGTCAATGTAATAAATCTAGTTGATATAATTCTTAAAGAAGCTAAAGAAAATGAAAAAAAGCTGTGAATAGTGTTATAAGATATGAAAAAAGCCTATGACTCAGTTTCAATAATGATATTAAAGCTAGCACTGAAAAGAGTTAAATTTCCAGAAAGAGTAATCCAACTAATATTAGAACTGTTTGTAGAGAGAAGAGTTAGAGTAATAACAAGTTATAGAACAACAGACAAATTCATAGCAAGAGACGGAATTGAACAAGGAGAAATGATCTTGCTACTGATTTGGAGAATATTCTATAACCCCCTATTATGAAGAATTCAAGATGATCCAAATCTTGAATACAAAATTCAAAGTAAAGAGATGCTAGATATAAATACCAACTCTATTAAATTTGAGGAGTTTAGACAAGCTGCAATTACTTTTGCAGATGACACTATATGGATAGCTGAGAATAAAGACCAAATAGAGAAGATAATTGAGATTTCACAGAGATTTTTTGCCCTAAATGATATTAGTATCAACAGTAAAAAATCAAAACTACTCATATTAAATTCAAGTAAAAATAAAGAAGAAAACTATATAGAGATAGAAAATGATAGAATTATTGCAGAGGGAAAAAACACTATCACAAGATTGCTTGGCATTTGGTTAAGCAGTCATACAAGCAAAGCACAAATAGTTAAGAAAGCAAGAACTATAGTTAAACAGTTTGTATCATTACTATACTGCAAAAAAGCAACAATAAGTTAGCTAGTATATATAAACAATATGTGTTTAGTGCCAAAATTAGCATATATTTTACAGAACAGTAAACTATCACAATTGATGTTAGATAAAATACACCAGCCCTTCATTAGACTAATTAAAAATAAAATAGGGCTAGTAGCATCAATGGGTAATTATATAATGACGTATCAGGGTCTTGATAGATACAAAATGCTTAGACAAGAAGTTTTGTATCACCAAGTAACAAATCTTCATAATAGGCTAAATGGTAATAACCAATTAAACAAGTTAACAAAGATAAGAATACATCAAGACTTTTTACTAGCTGGCCTAGTCAAAGAAAGGTAAGAGGAGTCAAGAAGTCCAAGCATCAAGAAGATTTGGGAAAACAATTTAGCATGCATGGTTCTGCTCAAAGCACGAGAGCTAGGAGTAACTTTCAGTATAACAGATGAGCTGTGAAAGATCTATGGTTCTGGGCCAACAATTCACGAAATCATAGCAGATGAAGTATTTTTTAAGGCATGCAGAAGTATACAAAAATACAATTTGTTTTACATAAACTAGTTGATTGAAGCCAATGGTTACAGAGTTTTGTCATGAAAAAAATTCTATGTATTGAGAGTGAAATCTTTGAAAGGCTATAAACCCAAATAGTTTAAAGTTATTGAGAACTATTTTGAAATAGATCAGAGTAGAATTATTAAAAAAAGCAGAGCTCAGATTCAAGAACCAAACACAATGGCAATGAAGACTTATACAAAAAAAGTATTAACTGATAAATGAAAGCATGAATGAGTTATAGTAAACAAGAATTAAGAAGAAGCCTCGTTGGTAAGTAGAGTTAAGAGAAAAAAGAAAAATAAAGTCCTGCTCTAGCATTAAAAACTAGAGAAAAGTACCGAAAACGAGAAGCCAACTGTAGAGAGATGTAAGAATTGTAAACGAAAGCATGGAAAAAGCATGAAGTGTGATTTTTGGGTGGAAAGAAAAAATAGACTAGAGTCAATTCAAACAACAAATCAAGAAACAGGCTCTAAAAAACCAGCACTAATTAAAGAAATAGTCAGGTACAGAAAAGCGACAGATAAAGTAATGAAAGATGAAAAAAAACAAGAGTTGGTTTTAATAGAAATAGAAGAACATACAAGGAGTTTTATAAGATCACATAGTTTTGACAGAGTACTAAAAGAGATG